TCTTATGGGTGCTAATCATCTCCTTGCAGTTTATTTTCTGGTGCAAAGTAGTTTCCTTTATGTATAGGCCCTGTGGGTTTGAAAATTCTTATCAGCAGAAATGTAGCCATTTAGTTTGGATTCAGAACAGAAGTGGGCTGTCATTTTTATGCCTTAGATTTTGTTCAGGTTTTGAAAGTGAGATGCAACGTTAACTCTAAATACACAATTTTTCTTGTTACCACTCTATCCTTTAAAAATGTACTTTTGTTTTTTTTGGAAAAGTGACACAATATGGAAATGGAAAGTACAATAAAAAGCAAAAGGAAGAAAAAGCCACTGTTAATTTCCTCTAGAGATAACATTTTGTTTATTCATCCACATTTTTTGTACATGTACATAATACGCACATATTTATCTTTATGAAAATGAGATCATATATTTACACAGTGATATAGATTACTTTTCTCATAACATTAAATTATATTCTAAACATTATGTCCTTAAGTGTAAACCTGTGATATCGTTTTGGTGATGTCTTGGTTGTATCCAGCCTTTCTCTGTTATTTTATGGCTGCAGGGAATGTCCTTCTGGTTACATTAATGCTCATCATTTTTCTCTTTCGGGTCTTCTTGGACCAGTTGAAAGGAGCAGGTAGAACTTCAGCCAGATCTTGAGGCAAGGAGAATGGATAGAATTTGTGTGTGTGGAGTGAGGAGGAGAATTTTTCAGGCTGGGGGAAATAGCATGGGTATAAATGCCAGGGTGGGGCTAGTCTGCATGTCCACAATTAGTAAGGAGACTGGAGGAAAGGATTTATATGAGAAGAGCCTGAGCAGTATTGTCCGTCAAGAGCTTTGGGCCAATATTTTGCACATCCTTGAATATAAATATGCTGATTTACAGTCAGTCAAATAAGTGGGAGGAGCTCTTATCTGTTTTCCAGCAAGGAAAAGGATGATGAAAGTGGTCTTTTAAGAAGACCAACAAGACATTAGTGTACAAGTAACCAGGTTTTCTCTTTCTCCCTTACAAACGTTCTTCTCTTGGAGTGGTCCTCTATGTGTTCCACAGGACTACGGGTGCAAGATATCATGACCCAAATAAAATAACTTACTTGCCAGTTCTCTAGTAAAAATAATTTTTAAGTGTTCTTTTGAGTGTATGAGATGAACACATTGCAGAATTAAAATTTGTGAGCCAGTCTTAGGATTTTCTACTCTGTACTATTTATTGTACAGTTTACAACAGTAGATCATCCACAAATTAATTAACCATAGTGAGATCGGCAGCTTTCTTCTCTTTGTCAAGTCTCAGGGCAATACAATGGGAAGACTCAAAATGTACAGATATGTGTGTATGTCTGAATTTATTCTAGTCATATTTTGCATGATCCTGTGGCTTCTTCCTTCATTGGTCAGAGAAGCCAAGAGGCTTTCATACAGACCTTTCTTAAAACCGCAATGACTACGGTTCATTAATTCACATACACTGGTTGAGCAGCAGATATGTGGTGGGCAACAAGATACAGTGATGAACCAGACAGGTATATTCCCAAGTTTTAAAATATCAGTGCAAATTTTTACGGCTTATTTAATGAGCTCCTTGGAAAAATTTGCCTGGATTTAACTTGAAATGTTATTTTCGCTGAGATTCTTTGTAGATATCGAAATTATGGCATTTTTTCCTTTATGGAGTACTTTTATGTATTTTTGAAATTTACCGAATTAATGTATATCACTTTTTAACAGAAAAAAACCCATAAACTTATTAAAATTTCTTATTATTTTCTGCTTTGGTGTATGTGTGTGTGTGTGTGTGTGTATTTTTTTTTGAAAATATCTTTTCACATATATGTGTACTTATGTTAGCTTTAATAACCCTAACCAAAAATTGACACCTGGTCACTTGATCAGCATCTTGTTTGTTAATTAAAAAGAAGATATCCATTGGGGCAAGTCTTGACCCATCCATTTATTTGCAGGATGGCTTCACACCACTGGCAGTGGCTTTGCAACAAGGTCATGATCAAGTAGTTTCACTCCTGCTAGAAAATGACACTAAAGGAAAAGTGCGTCTTCCAGCTCTTCATATCGCTGCCCGAAAAGATGACACAAAAGCTGCCGCCCTGCTGCTGCAGAATGACAACAATGCAGACGTGGAATCAAAGGTGAGGCACGAGGGAAACGAGCCTGTCGGGCAGCTCTCCTACATTAGGCACCCCAACTTTAAGAATGATGGTCTCCCTTTTGGCAAGCTTATGCCAAACATTTAACTTCACTAAAGGGAATAAAAACGCATGTCCACGTCAGCCAATTGAAGGCACATCCCCCTTAGCATATAAAGCTAAGGGGTCACTGTGGATGCTGCTCTATGCATGCTGAAAGGGAGGCCACCCCAAAAGAACCCTGTCTATATGCACCTGATAGTTTCCTTCCTTTTAACATATATTTTTAATGTATTTAACACTTTAGCTCAAACATCAGGGTGAAAAAATTACAAAATGCTAACAACGGTGTGCATAAATAAACCTTTGGTTGATATCTCAGATGATAGGCAATGCACTGAGTATTGATCCGCTGCGGAAAGCATGCCGGCAGCCAAAGAGTCCGATCCAGAAATTCCCATTGTCTTGACACGTATCACATGAAAGCCTCTGTGAAGGAAATGTGGCATTTGGAATAGGCCATTGTGCAGCCCCTCATTCGGTCTAGCTTTCTTTCTGTGCCTATTGTGCTTCCATCATAGCTTTCATCTTCATTACTTAGCTGTCATGAGCTTTCTGCAATCCATATCACCAATAGCGAACTAACCGTTCATTTTTTCCTCCTCTTTGCTTCCAAATGTGTTAACCTAGATGGTGGTGAATAGAACAACAGAGGTATATATATATATATACATATACATATAGTCTATATCTGCATCATCATTTTCCCATTACTTAGTGCTGCTGCCTCATTTCTTTCCCTTCTTCTTTGCATTGCCTTCTGTAGGCTAGATACCTGCTTTATACCCCCACCTCCAAAGTAGCATGTGCCAGAGAAGATAGTAGTTTGATTACCAGGGCTTTCTGCAGCTGAACCTGGTATTGGAACAGAAGAAGGAGGAATCCTTGAAACTTAAGGGTATTACAATAGAGTTGTGTGAGATGAAGAGTTTTGGCACTTTAGATACTTATCAGCTCTACCTAAAGCTGCAGACAACCCTGTCATTCTACTCATCTAGGACTGATTCTTTAGGGTTCTGCATGACACTTAGCCTCAGTGTCAGCAAGGTGAAAGTTCCCTCGGAACGGTACCAATATGACCCATTGTTCCTCAAGAGTCAATAAGATAGCTAGCATGGCTAAGAAGCTTGCTAACAATTTAGAAATGCATCTAGTTCCTATAAGGTTTTAATCTGTGGGGACTAAGTGAATCGCTGCATGTTTTAGCCTTTTTTTAAGGAAGTAAAATGACCTTGGTATGAATAATCCAGGAAAATGTATTATTGAATAGGCATTTGCTAATAAAGAGACCAACTTGTGCATTCTTTATGGAATGCAATCAACCATTACACAAGACCAATGGTAGTAGTACCTCTTCCCCCAAAATTGCTTGTACTATTAAATTAACTAATAGTAAATGCCAATTTTGCCTTGGTACTGAATATATAGAATGAACTGAATTTTGACAAAGAGTTTCAGTGGGCAATTCTATCATGAATAACAAAACAGTGGTAGTAATCAAGCTTTCTATGAGCTATAAAGATTTTTCTTGTGATCCTTTTGTGAACGTTTGCTTCTATATAGTTCTAGTGGATTACTAAAATTGCTTAATCTCCACCCTTGGTTCCTCCCTGGCTATCCCTCTGCCTATGAGTTCGGCATTTATTTGAAACCCTCTGAGCAATTGGCACTAATCGAAAGAAACCTAGGACAGAATGGAAAGTGGACCTCAGCATATTTTGCTTCCTCATTTTTATTTGGGCAGGGTTATGGTATGAACGCGTCAGACAAGGGGCCGGCAGGAATCGATTCAACGTCTGCTGTGTTTTCTTTACAGAGTGGCTTCACTCCGCTCCACATAGCTGCTCACTATGGAAATATCAATGTCGCCACGTTGCTGTTAAACCGAGCGGCTGCTGTGGACTTCACGGCAAGGGTAAGAAGGCTGCAGTATGACATGCCCGTAAAGCGTCTGACACGATTCTTAACTCTCCTTTCCCATCATGAGAAGAAGGTTGGGACAGATGACCTCCAAGGGTCCTTCCAGTCAGAGAAAGCTGTGACTTGCTGCTTATCCTAGTGCATGGTCTTGCTTTCACACAGGTGTGCCTGCTTCCTAGCAGAAAAAGTAAACCAAAATCAGGGGTGGGGGGTGGGGGAGTGATAAATATATAAGTGAATATATAGAAGATGTGATGCAAATAATCGTGACTAGAAATGGAAAACTGTTCCCTGAGTAGAAATTTCTGAGCCTGTTGTCAGTTGGTCAAATGGCATCAATAGTGCTCTAGATATCAGGGCCTGGACCTTACAGATGGGAATGTGCTGGAGTATCTGGATGAGGCCTAAACTTCAGACTCCAAATAATAGAGACCATCTTTTGCTTTATCTTCTGTCCACTACAAACTTTTGTAATGAGTAACAGGAATCTGTAACCTGAGTAAGTTTATATTCATGGAGAAAGGAATTACAGCGTCACGTGTACCACTGGACAGCAACTAGGACATCCAAACAAAATAATACTGCTCTGTGAAAACTGGTCTGGTGCTAGGCTTAATCATCAGAAACGTCATCATCAGAAGTAGAGATGAAGTAGGAAGCAGGCTGGAGTGGTGGCTAACAGTGTGGACTCAGGATTCAGACTCTCTGGGTACAATTTTGGCTTTAGGCCGGCACGGTGGTACAAGTGGTTAAGTGCGTGTGCTCCACTGCCGGGGCCCAGGGTTCGCCGGTTCAGATCCCGGGCGCAGACTGACACACTGCTTGTTGAGCCATGCTATGGTGGTGTCCCATACAAAGTAGAGGAAGATGGGCACAGATGTTAGCTCAGGGCCAGTCTTCCTCAGAAAAAAGAGGAGGATTGGCATCAGATGTTAGCTCAGGACTGATCTCCCTCACCAAAAAAAAAAAAAAAAAATTTGGCTTTAACTTTTCTCTCTGGGTCCATCAGTTTCCCCATTTATAAGATGAGTAATATGAATTATGAATTTAAAAACTAATAATAATAATAAAATAATATCACCACTCGTTCACTGGGTCACTGTAAGAATTAAAAGAGAGAGTGAATATAAAGCACTTAGCACAGTGTCTGACGTGTCACCATCATCAACATATATCATCATAGCAGCAGCACTATGATTTTGAACGTTTTTGCTAAACCCTCACTTAGAGGAGAAATGGGACTGGATCAGAGAGGGAGATAGGATAGGGCATAACACCAGGACTAGCAGTAACAGTAGTAGTTGCAGCAGTAAACGTAATACCATCTTTGAAGTAGTTACTGAGTGGTAGATGCCAGGCTAAGCATCTTTATCTCATTTATTTTTATTTCAGGAAAAGTGTTATTTATCCCTGTTTTACAGAAGAGGAAGCCGAGGATTAGAGATGAGAAGGAGCTGGTGCAGGATCACAAAGCTAGCAAATTAGAAAAGGCAGGATTTCATCCAGCCATTTGTGACAACGTGGATGGACATTGAGGGTATAATGCAAAGTGAAATAAGTCAGAGGGAGAAGGTCAAACACCGTATGATTTCCTTCATTAAGTAGTAGATAATAACAACAATAAACAAACACATAGGGACAGAGATTGGATTGGTGGTTACCAGAGGGGAAGGGGGGATGGAGGAGGGTGAAAGGGATAATTCGGCACATGTGTGTGGTGATGGGTTGTAATTAGTATTTGGGTGGTGAACATGATGTAATCTATGCAGAAATAGAAGTACAATGATGTACACCTGAAATTTTTACAATGTCATAAACCAATGTTACTGCAATAAACAAAAAATTAAAAAAAAAAAGAAAAGGCAGGATTTCAGCCCCAAAGCTCTTAACCACTCCAGTATTCTGTCTCCCATAGGTAACTTTAGGGGTTCATTTTTCTTTTCCTCCTTATAATTCATTAGTTCTATAAAAATTAATGAGCTCAGATTGTACTAATATAAAGGCTATTTCCTACCCTATTGTCATGAGCTTGCTAAAAGCTTTATCGGCTGAAATGACTTGAGAGTGCCAGGCAGCTCTCGTCACCCCAGAGCTTTGTTCTTACTGCATTCACTGTATCCTTAGGATTCGGCGACATGGCAGACCCAGGCCTAGTTTGACATTTTTGAAGGACAAAGTTAAGCGCTTGTTTAAGTCATGTATAAACAGGACGTGTCAATGTTAAAACTGAAGTTTGTGTCTTTAAGATGCATTCTTCTGGTTTTATTTCTGTAATTTACAGTATATAATGAAAACCTCATTAAGTCGCATCTTCTAATTAGGACATTGGGGAAATTCATGTCAGGATAGTGTTTGAAGTTTGTGTCATTGTTCAGAAATTTCCTGATGGTGCTGAAAATAAGATAGGGGCAAAGTTTAAGCAATTTAAGAGGACAAAAGACAGTATTTTCAGACTCCTTCAGGCAATTCCAAACAACCATTTACATTAAAACAATGACTGTGGTAATTACAAATGATACTAATTTATTGATTAAGGATCAATGGAGACCTCAGACCCATGTTGTTAAATTTGCCTGAGTTGCCATATGTGATTTGAAATAATCACATTGTGCTTTTATTTAAAATATGTTAAAATTCAGGCATTTTAGTGATTTAGAAAAGCATTTTCTAGAGTCCTTCCTACTTGATGAGGGCTAATAGCATTCTGAGCTGAAGGCTGTGGTGGAATTTGATTATACTATATGAGATCTGCACTGTTGCTTACACTCCCATAACCTATGCTTCCCTCTGCAGTTGGCAATTGATGACTTGCTTTAGAGCGTCTCC